AAACAAAAACATTACCCACAGAGATAAACAGCCTTTCCTCTTTCAAGAATGGCAAGCCTGCAGCTGGCCATTTACAGCCCAGTAGCTAAAAGGAAGTAAATAACCGAAGCATGACTTATTTGTGAATAGCACGTCTGTGGCATACAGTACCGATCGAAAGATGGCTCACTTTTATACCACTGCTGCGAGTGAGGCTGAACATGGAAATGTCATCACAAATGGGAACATCGCAGTAATATGCAATCCCTTAACCCTCATGTCCCCAGTACACCCCAGTACCTAGTTTAAATTGCTACTGTAAATGAGAGCCGACTCTGCGCCTCAAGGTAATGTGCGCAAAACACGTATTTGTTTTTGTTTTGATTCACCAACCGGATTTTAGTAACCGATGCTATGCACAAGGTTCTTACAGGATGTATTGCATTTCCTTGGTTTGCACTTGCAATCAAAAATGTACAATCCAGTGCCAATAGAGAAAGAAAAAACTGCAACACAGAGGTCATTATTTTCAATGCTAAAATACACTGAAAAGGAAAGATAATTAGCAGCTATAATATTATATGATACTAGAATATAGGTCATATATAGACAATAGAGTTTAGTTTTCAAATTCAAAGAGCTTTTTTTGGCATGAGCGATGAATTACAGTGGTGCCAAACTAATGATTACTTGGTTGTCAAGGTCTAAGCAGGGTTTTTCTGTTTTTGAAAATGTAATTGGAATTACAGAGTGTCCCAGAAATTGGTATTTTTAGTTTGGCCAAATGAATAAAAAGGGGCTAAAATGGAACAAAAAGCTAAAAGACTCTCCATGAGCAAGAATCTGACAACCTGTCATCAGTGAATCACTAGAATTAAAAACTCATCATGCTGTGCTTTTTCTTTTACTGATAAATATCTGATCTTAATATCAGAGATAAACCTACGATATTGAGCATAATATTTCTAAAAGAAATATCCAAATATCTTGCACATAATTCCTTAAGAAATGTATTGCTTTCTTCATGCCTGCTGCCCCCTCCATCACATGACCTCAGGCCATGAATTAAGATGTACCTGGAGAGAGCAGACAGGCAACAAACGACCAAAGCATCTTTATACAAGCAGACTGAAGCTTGATGAATAAAAAAAAATATTTCAGCTTTAAGAACTGTGCGTCATGGGCTATGTATAAGGCTGAAAATAGGTCTTAGACTATAATACATCAGAATTTATACAGAACAGGCATGAATACTGAAGATCTCAATATTGTAACACCAGCTATTTATTTTAATAATTATACCTTCACAGGAAATTAACTTGGAACTGATTAGTAAATACTGTATATGGATGTTCAGCTCATAAGGTGAGATTATGTGTAGTATCTAGGGTTCAGAGACCAGTGTCTAGGCACATCCTGGGTAAGACTGTGCCATTACAAGAATTACCGAATACCCTAGGACAGCATCTGAAACCTAGTGTAAGCCATGTATGACATATACACAGCTTGCATCACTTCTTCTAGTGGTCATATACACGTTGCTAGCTTGAGATTTTCACAGTAGACTCCCCGTTGATGATGAATGCTAAATCAACTTTAGACAACCTACAGTAGCCTATGTCTGTTCATAAGATGCCAGAGTATCTCCCAAACATGACACTCATTTTCTCCAATAATAACCACAACAAATGCATGTTACATTTCTTTTGATGCTCTAGATATATATATACACACACAAACATATACAGTAACACCACAAATATTTGAGAAAAGCATCAAAAGGTTTTTAACCACAATGATGAATTATCCAACGCTGAACAATCAACCAGTTTCAGCAGATTATGAGAATTTATATCATTCCTGTATGAAATGCTGCATTTTGTCACTTTCTTCCATCCCTCTTCTCATGAATATAAAAATAACAAAAAGGCTGATAAGGCTTCTGAATTTGCCAATACATCATTTATATTTGCACGACAAAATGTTACCTAGTCTCTGGCTTAACACCCCTACACTCGGGATGTGACTGGCTAGCATATTAGAAAGTTGAAATAGCTAGGGTATTTGAGGTTCATCTATCCACCATTATGGGAGATTAGGAGTGCTATCAATTGGCAGGAAGCAATAGTGTCTAGAGCCCCTGATGGATTGTTTCCTGTCACCTGTGAGATTGCTTCCTGATTGCAGTTATACTGAAACACTTCAGAAATACAACAGAGTCGGCTGGTATTCAGGACTAGGCTGAATGTCCCCAGGACTTCACATGTATTTTCCCCTATTAGCCACAGTCAGGATGAAGTGAAAGCATGTAGACAAGAACATTTACAAGAAAAAGCACAAGAGGCGCACCGAGGTCCGCTTTAAGAGAACACTACCGTTTCTGTGACACCATTGTGTCACTTCATGACACAGGGTGTGCAAGATGGAACCGGCTTGCTGTTGGTGATGGTATTCTCACTACACAGTGGAAAGACAGAAATATTGCCAGATATGGCTTGCTGTCAGTCATTACAGATCACTTCTTTCTGCTTCAGCCTGGTATTAAAATCAATGCACTGGGCAGCACGATCATCCAATCAAGAATGTGCCCATACCTTAAAATGTTATCAGTCAACTTTGCCTGCAGACTTTGGCAACTGCTTTACAGATTCAATAGAGAGACATCCCTGTCAATGAGATATTACTGCTGCACTTTCTACATCTTAAAGGTGTCAGTCTAATGTTAAGATATGGACGCAAATACAGTGCCTTGCGAAAGTATTCGGCCCCCTTGAACTTT